GCGGCAGTAGAGTGAGCAAGCAAGTGTCTTGTCAGTCAGACAGCGATCTTGTCACGATGTGCACGAGTCGCCGATTATCAAATACATACGTGCTCCGAGCGTGAGTATCTTCCGTTCCGCATTGTAAAGGAGGATCATTATCGTGGCCATCGCCGTATATTTCACTATTACCTGCATCATTATCATTACTGTTATCCGCGTCATCTCCAAGCTCGGCTGGATACTCACAAATATCGGGAAAAATTCCAACTGGCGGTCGACCGTGCAATGTGGACGAGAGCTTCTGAAAACTGCAAGAACTACGCGGGAGGTACTCGAGTTGTTCGATCCCGCCGTGACGTGCCTCGAAGGCGGGACTCAAATCGGCCCACACTGTGAGGAATCACCCGGAGAACAGAAAATAGAAATATCCGAAGACGGTGCTTGAGCTCGACGCCCCTGCCTCCCTTTTGGACGGGAACGCGTCGATCGTAGACTCGGTCTCGCACTCTTACCAGGGTCGAGCGGATTTTCATTTTTTCGGATTCTGATTCCTTCGCAACGAATTGTTTTCTCGAGATTAACCCGGTTCCTTGGACACTTCTAATCATCAAAAAGTCACGATGTCATGAGCGGGCAGTCACTCAGGGAGTCCCGAGCACACGGTCATAAATCGTAGTTCGCCGCAGGGCGAGCGAAGAGCGCGTAATTAATCCGTCAAAACCATCGGAGCATATCAGACGGTCCCCCAGCCGGACGCGTCCGATACGGGCAGAATCTCCAAGGGAGACAGACTGCTCACCGTATACCTACGCCAACACTGAGCGTCCAATGCTCCCTCGGACGATCACCGGTGGACGAGGCAATGATCACTAGGTTTCTCACCATCGCTGATCCGCTTCGAGCTCTCCCTCGAATCCTCCCGTACCGCTGCGTTGCGAAAATCGGATTATCCTCAAGTTCTCCTGACCGTAATCCATCTGGGTCTCTGCCGGAAGCCTACACGGGGCTGCGGGAATCTCATGGGAACGTACCGAGAGGCATGAAGTAGCGGTCGAGTGGAGGGTTCGCACTATTTTTATACAACTTCCGAAAGAGGTGATCCGGCTTGCGAGAATTGTTCCTTGTTTCCGCCAATGTGCGTGCTTAAGTAATGAGCTCACGACGACGGCCACCGGACGGAGGATAGTACCCGGCAAACAGGCGAGCGTTAGACCCACCGGTCGGCTGGCAGCCGAGATGGATAGAGCGGTTGTAGCTCGCTATGATGAAGCCACCACGACGGATTCGGTCAGGAGGAGCAGTCGCGTCCAGAGGCTGCTAGTGTGTCCGGCGAATCGTCGAGAATTAAGTTCGGTTCGCTATTCTCAGCGAACGCTGCATTCAGCAGCGCATATTAAGGGCGTAGCTGCTGCTGTTATTAGCAGAGGCAATTTTAATGCACGGCTGCTTGCGCGGCCGGAGAGTTTGTTACGAAAATCGCTCCCATACAACGGCCTGCTCCCTGCTGGTCAGTCGTGTCCGGCGCACTGACAGTTTTGCCGGCCTCTCGTTCCGTCCGAACAGAAAAACAACATTTATTCCATTATATAATATACGTGAGCGAGCCGCGAAGATCCATCTCTCGCGCTCGAGCTCAAACAATGCCCGGCTTGAGATAAATGGACATTTTAATTTGATGACGAGCGCCTTCGCGTACCTTGAGTCGCCCGGACGCACTTGCGAGCCGACGCTCTCCATTCCAGCGACTCGAGCGGTGAGGGATCACATCTTCGATAATATTCATCCTGTCCCCGGAACTTCACAGATGCTAACTGGGCCTGACGCTCCTCGAACGAGAACAGCCGCTGTTCCCACCAAGAGCTTCAGCTCCGTGACTATCAAGGTCTCGGACTTTGTTACCGGGCGTATTCTCCCAGCAACCGGCGCTCAAACTAGCGCGGACTGCCACGAGCTCTTGCTTCTCTTTTCCCGAATGGAACCGGGAACAGAAACCCGGAGAAAACCGGGCGTCGCTTATCAGCCTCCGGAATATTCTGCTGAACACGATATTTATATATATATATATATATATATTCCTCCAGAGTACCAGACGTCGACCGACGGAAAGCGACTCGAAATCTCAACGTCTGTGAGCGCTGCCTCGGTCGACGTTAGCGAAAGAGAAGAGATTTATGCTTGTGCCTCGATGTATAAGCCCCGGAACAATGCACCGTTTAGCTCCGATCCCGTACATCTCGACAGAGGTGAACGGGCGATATTTTTCTCGTCGAGTCGAACCCTCGGGGAGAAAATGATCACTGCGTGATCGAAACGATATTATTGAGTTTCGCTCTCGTCTTGCTCATCGGTCGGCTTTCTGTGTTCTTCGCCGGAATTGTTTTTCTGTGCGCGGCGCCATGTATCACCGTACGCGCCTCGCGGCGATACAACGAGACATCGGTTGCGACAGACGAAGGGGCTCGAGCTCATTGGGGAGCTCCGAACCTCGTTGGGAATCGGGACCGCCAGGACTCGCAACCACGACATAGTCCACGGGGTTTCAAATCGAGGCCACTTCCCAGTGCTCAGCTGGAAAGTTTCTCTGTGAGGGGAGGCTCCGATGACCAGTGTTTCCGACGGAGTAGTTCGTTCTCCGCCTTCGCAGTGTCAGAGACGGCGACTCGATCGATACCGCGAATATCATGAGCTCAGTCGTCGCGGATATTTTCGACGGTAAATCGAAGGAGTGGCCAGCGGATGAGGTGCGGGCGTCCGTCCGTTGTTTCGGAAGCCTCTTTGTCCAGAGCTCACTCCGAACCATGCACCGGACGCCGTATTCTCGCCGTGCGCGGTGTTGTTCTGTTGTCATGATGCCGTGGCTCTTCTTGCCGTAGTTGTTGTTGCTATCATGGCGGGGCCCGTTGCTCCATCTGATCATGGTTGAATGTTGTTGCCGCTGAGCTGTTGTATCGTCGACGATGACGACGACGAACGAAACCGAGCGGTCGAGCACTCGTCTCCAAGAAGAAGAAGAAGCAGCAACAGCAGCAGCAGCAGCGATGCTTTTAATCGCACGGCAGCCGCGGCATCAGCGACGGCAGCAACAACAACCACGCGAGCGATCGAACGAGTGATCGAGTCAACCAGAAGGCAGCGAAAGAAAATGCAAGAAAGTAAGCGAGGAAGGATCCAACCGACGACGTGCTACTCCTTATCTCGGAGATGCGGCGCTACGGACCCACGACCGGTTTTCGTCGTCGTCTCGTTGCCGGCTGAACGTCCAGGTCGTCATCGACTACTGCCATTTTTCCTTCCAGTATCCTCTCCACGGCTAGCGGGGAGCGTGCCTCTTGTGGACTCGATCGCTCTTCCTCCTCTGGTTTCCCCTTGGTTTTTACTTCTCTGTTCGTCCTCGACCCTTTCGCCGCCTCAACGATAGTTCGCCCCGGCTCTGGCTGTGACTGCTTCCTCGGCCATAGGTCCCTCCGACGGCGAGGGGGAACTGACTTATTTCGAGAGATGGAGCATACCCTTGTGGCCATAATCCGTGGAATCCATCGCCATCGGTAGCGCAAGATCCTTATAATCGAGAGCGTACATGATATATCCCTCACCGTCTGATGCGCCCATATTCCTCTAGGAGCTCGGGAATCGATGGTGAGGATTATGATTATAGGGGAAGACTTGGGGACGAACTATCCGGTAGTGGAACATACTGATAAAATTGAATACGAACCATATGGCAGACGTGCTCGATTCTAGATTTCCCGGCGGTAAACCATCTTACCCGAGGGGAGCAATCGAAATGTATCACGCAGCTGAATAAAAGTGCTCTATGCACGGGTCCGACGAGGACCACACCCGAGCTCCCACTCGGAGGAACTTCCCAGAGTTGACCTCGGGAACATCATCCTGAATAGTTCCGTGTCCACTCGAGTGTAGTAGATGCGACGGTTGTCGCGTCGAAGTGCACGCGGTCACTTCGTCATCGGGGAGCTCTCTCTTTTTCGGAATCTGTATTTCATTCAGTGAAGACCTCGTGTGTCACCGATGCGATGTCATCGTTGATGGACTCGCGGGAACACCGTAGTCAGCATTATTGAATACAGGTATTAGCTCTCAGCGTGGCGTCGCTTTCGTATTCCGATAAGTTCATTAGAAGAAGACTCCAGCTCAGAAAACCGGTTCGATCTGCTAGTCCAGCCCGCAACTTCTTTCGACTGATTGACAGCAGCAGCATAGAAACAGGAATGCTCGGTGATCACAACGATTCAATACATTACAAGCTTTGCATGTTCAGAAAGCGAAGTTGGAAGCCACATGTCAAGCTTCAAGGGGACGCAGCTCCGAAACTAAAATACGACATTGAGCGGCACCTGCAGAAGCGATCGGCGGTGGCGCCGTCAAGATACGATTTTCTCGTTAGCCGTTATCATCGGCGGACGGAGTGCACCGAACCGGAATTTTTCCGAGATCGAAGCATCGGCAAAACTTTCGGAAAAAGAGGGAAGCTAATGCACGAATCATGTTTGAGAGAGGGTTTTTTGACTAGTCGTCAAGAAACTAGTTTCATTCCCCGCGAGCTTCGGAGGTCAATGGATTCTAGGGCTAGGGAATCTGCAAGGCCCAAAAGTGTGGCCTTTGAGCTGACACTTTCGATCGATAAATATCCCCCCGGCTCCTTTTCCTTCTACAGCTCACTCACACCTGCGCCGACTTGAATATTTCCCTGATAGATGATGATATCGAGTCCATGACGAGAAACCACGCTCTAGAAGACCCATTCCCGATAGGTGGCTAGGAACAGTGTCCTGACCTCACAAGACCCCTGCGAAATGCGCCGGAGGGTCTCAAGGAACGATCTCGACTTCCTACTGTGAGACATCCGATGCGCCAGGATTGCGAAACGTGCGGAGAAATTTTATTTACAAAATTCAGCCATCTAACAAAACCCAAGAGAGCCTCTCGCAAATCGCTGTTCGACTTCCGAAAGGAGATCCCCTCGACAACATGAGCACGGTTCATTCCTTCGGACCAGGTCGCAAACAACTGACAACTGACTTGTGAGTGATGTTTCGGTGTGCCTCCGACTCGAGACTCTCGAGATTATTCGCTACTTCTGCCGTCGAACTGAGCCCGGGGCACCTCATCTCGGATTCCGACTTCGCGAATCGCTCATTTCTGGAATGATTCCGAACAGAATAACTGATAATAAGCTCATCGCCTTCGTCTTCGTCCCATTCTGTCCTCAGAGAATTGTTGGTCAACAAGTGAGAGACAAAATACCCTTCGGACTCAGGGTATAGAGGTTTCCTGGGCCGCGGAGCTCGCCGTGGATCTCTTGCTACCCCGAGATATACTCCTGATGAGCCCCGGTAGCGGGGATTTCGTGTAAGTCGGGCTGAACGGCAGGAATGGCAATTTTTCGAGCTGACTCCCCATGAACGGAACGCCGTAGCATGTCATGTCTGGCTCTTCCGATGCTTCCTTATCCTCGACGAGTCCACGTTCTTTCAACGTGCCCGGGATTGTGTTATCTAAAAATATTCCCAGCGCTCCGCCCACAAACATGGAAGTCGATAGCAAGATGGTTATAGTTTGGTCGAGCATCAGGTTGCCTGGGAAACGCAGGCGATCATTATAAGTTTTCTCTCCTCCAAATTCAGAAACTACGAGCGAGCTCAACGACTGTTTGTTTTCGTCGCGATTTGAGCGAGTGCAGGAGCACGGAAAGTATCCGGTAAGCGAGATGTCGAGAAAAATAGTGTGGAGATAATTGGGAACATCTATCAGCGAAATTGCACTCCAGAACTCACCGGTCTGGATCGACTCCGGATGTCTCCTGGTCCAATGAGCGATCATGATTCCCCCGAACAACGAGGTTCCAAGAACGTAAAGATTCCGCGATGAATGCAGGTCCACTTGTTTAGCGGACGCGATTCCAACACCCGATATCAGCGAGAAAGACACCACGAAAACTCCGCCTGGATGGAATCGAGAACTTTGAATAAGCACCCAGCGCAGCACGAGTGGTTCTGGCTCAAGAGTCTTCAAACTCCTCGCGGTCGAGATGTCGCTCTTTCGCGTCCGCTCTCTTTGATTTCTTTTAGCGATCAAACATTGTCCGAATCCTCAGGAGCTTCTCCGTCTCTCAGGATCGAATCATTGGACCTCAGCAGAATACGGAAGCGGAGGCCTCAAGCGCGTAGAATATAATGCGCTTGTTGTATAAATGAGTCAGGGAGATCAGCAGGAAGGAAAGCTCGCTTTGTGAGTCAGTAGCCTCATCACGTATGAGAAACATAGCTGGGAATCGATGGGAGCTCCATTTTTCCGTGTTCATCGGATCTTCTTGCTCAATGCACTTTCGTGTCAATATTCGATCCTGGACGGACGCATTCGGCGCTCGAGCCTCCCGACGCTTGCCGTTTCAAGAGAAGAAGATTTTTATCGAAGCAATAGTTTCGTTATTAATGAAGATGCTCTAGAGATGAAGGAGATGAGACGAAGAATCAGGGTGTGCTGGCGCTGTTGTTGGCGACCGTATCGAAGGCGAAAATCCCATAAAAATATATATAACAAAAATAAAACAGAAACACCTCGATAACAGCGACCGATCGAAAAACCGTTTCAACGGCGATCGCAACCGGTTCTCCCATACTCCGGATTTTCAGGCCGTCAGAAGAAAGAGCGAACGTTCGGAGAGCCCGAAGGCTTCTGCTCGTGGCGTTCCGCCGCGCTATTGATTAGGACCGTTCCCGCTTGTGGCTTTCTTTTCAGTTTCTCCTCTCAAGCGGCTGTGCACTTCTGCATAATTCCATAGGCATGGCAATTATCGGCTCGGTAATAGACATCGATGTCACATTGCACCTCACGTACCGATGACCGGGTCCGGAATCGTTGCGAAAAGCGCTCCGAGTTTGCCTATGATGCCGAAACCCACCATAAACAGTGCAGCCCAAATGATTACGGACCGGCAAGCCACCTGAAAAAGATCCGATATCTCGTTGCTTGAATTTTCTTCCGGCAGAGCGCTCGTCACGAAATCTTCTGTGAGGCGAAGCTTGTACGCTGTGTAGGTTCCCCAGAAGATATATCGATTATTCCGAGACCTAAACCATCGGAATTGAATCCCGGAAATGAAAAATTTCCCGATGCTAGAGCCGCACATAGAGTTCCGCTGTCATGACGAATGAATAGAGGTATGGGAGAATCTGGTCCGGGAGAAATATCTGATCGCGGTTGTGACGCAGTTACTTTAGTGAGAGCGATGATGCTTATGTTGCTCGAGTATGAGGTCAGTCCACAGCCAGCGCCGAAGAAACCTGCGATTATGCTTCCAGCGCCTTCGAACATGATCCCTCTGTTGATAGCGTGCTTCGGTGGGGTCGGTGCGCGGGATAGCGAAGCGCAGGCCAGGTAGTCTCCGATGGATTCAATGATTGAGCTAACGATCGCTGATAGCATACCGATCACGGCGCCAACCGTGTAAGTGGGCGCACCGAACTGGCCTGTAAGTCGAGGAGAATTCGAGTAGAAAGCCATACTCCGGTCGAGTTGTGGGTTGCAGTCGAGGACCTGTCCCAAGCGACACGAGGAGAGCCTCATGAGAGAAATTCATAAGCAGAGCGTAATTCTCCCGCGGAGTGTTGAGATATGACTAGTGAGCTGGAGTTTCCGGAGCTAATAATTTGCGGAGGGCAGAACCTGATCCTGGGGCCAACGGATGGGTTGACAGTCATTTCGAGAATAATGAGAAACCCTACCTGGGTAGGGGAATCGTATCCAGGGACTGTCTCGGATGATATTCGTCCGGAGGTCTGTCCTAGCGGCATTTTCGGGTCCAAAATAATCAGAGACCGTCAGAATACCACAGATCGCCCACGATGCTAATAGTGCCATCAGAACCTGCGGAACGATCCTTCGTGACGATTTCGTGAAGGTGTCAGGAGCGTGGTTCGCTCGCTCTGATCATGATTCTGTCACCAGATTGTCAGAGCCACGCGCGGATGGCCGCAGCGAGGGAGTTTTTCCACCCGGATCACCAGCTTCCGCCGTTCTGGCACAATCTTGGTGAACATCAAATGTCGAGCGGCTATTCACAGTCAGATTTTTTCCGAGACATTTGAGTCGCGCATCGCGGGAGACATAATCAATGGGAATTTATTCGACGTCGAATAATACGCGGAATTCATTCGGACTCGATGTGCCAGCCGAAGCATCGGAGGAGGATTGGAACGTACCGGAAACACTTTGAAGATCGGAGCTTTCTTCAAACTCAAGCCGGACTTCGTGATTACTGGGAGTGGACACTTGACATTGGTGAGGTACTGGGAAAACAATGTCATCAGCGTGATGGCCCTTGAATTGGTCAACGCGGTCGTTATTGTCGTATCGAGCATCATCGTATATGATATTCAATGAGTGAGTTTTAACTCTCTTCTCATCGTCGATAACTCGCTGAGAAATTAGAATCTTTCCGCGAACTTTCAAGAATCCGTGTCCACGTCGACTCACAGCATTGAAACTGTCCAATTTTTCGAGCAGAGATCGGCAGCCTCTTCGAAGAGGAACAGCCCGATGAGGGCAATCGTCGGTGTTATGCCGAGCGGAGTTACCCATTTCAGAAGACTTCCAACAACACCGGTGAATCCGAGAACGACTTCGAAGACCGACGATATGATGATAGCTCCACAAATCTGCCATGCCGTTTTTGAACAGACAAATCAGGGAAGCAAGAAGAGAGAAAATACTGTGAGGAGAACATCGACGCCAGATGAAATGACGACTATCAGATGAGGGGAGAATCTATCAGGAGGAAAGAAAATCGGTCTACTTCGCGCATGCGGGTTTGCCAGAGATGGGTCCACTCATCTTGAGTCACAGGACCCGTAGAATTGTCGCTCCGAAGAGCAATGATATCTTGTTCGGATGGACATTTCCACTCGGGCAGCGACATTATGGCCACGATCGGAACAAGGAAGGTTACGCTGCATCCTTGCACGATTGGCAGCCTGAAAAAGTGAGGTATCAGTGACGACCAGGCTCATCAACGAGATCAACGAGACATTGACGGTGATCGGAGGGGAACCGGGCTTCGCCCTCAATGGGTTCCTCCCTTGAACTCGATCAAACTCAGCTTCACTTTACAGGGAGACGGAATGATAATAATATAGGTAATGGCTGAGCCGATCCGAGTCCGGATTGATGCCCGAAACCTCTCGCACTCGTAGCGAAAATTTCGCTAAGACGGTACAAAACGCGCTGGGCACGCGGCTGTTCTGTCGACACATTAAAATTCACATGATACTAACCGTATACCGAAAGTTGTTTGTAGAAGAGTCGCGAATCCGGACACGAAGAATATGGTTGAGATCAGGTAACCCCGCCCCGGGTCGGAATCTCTCAGACAGATCGCCGGAGCCAGTATAAATGGGTAACTTAGCGCTCCGGAGGATGCTATCAGGTACTGTTGGAAGCCCAGGAGAGCAGAGAGATACCAACGCGGCGAATCCTCCAAGCCGTAGAGCATGTCATCTCGCCGGTTCGGGAGCATTCCTTCTTCCTCGATTTGGGATAACTTTGAACAAATGTTCGGCAGTCGGATAAGAGTTTCCATTCCCCCATCAAATAGTTGAGCAGCGACAATCGGTCCCGGTCCACGGCTCCGAACGACGGTGCGACTCGGAATTTTCATCGTCGGAGGCTGTTACAGGGACTCGAACGACCGAATCACGGATTTCCCGCTCACATGGATCAGGAATCGATTTGTACTCACTTTGGTCTCTTTCCGGTGCTCGTTGTGCATGATGTGGTTCCCAACTAGAAAATCATGCAGAGCCCGCCGGGGAAGCGACTCGCGACTGTCTCTTCTTGACCCCTCGTAAAAGGGAGACAGATAGCTCAAATTTTCGCCCTCTTCCCGATGGTCCAGTGCACGAAAGCAATGATAGCGTTGTTCTGGTCAATCACCTCGCATTTCAGAGAATCGCCAATCATTATCACTACGAGGTTTTACAAGGAGGAGCAATTTGTGACTCGGGAAACTCTAAACAAACGTCGTACATGAGAGACCGTGGAAGATACGACTCGCGTAGCGTCGCTGCCGCCGTGGAGAGACGTACGGTAATTCTTCTTTGCGGAAACATCAATGAGCTAGAGGAGCGGATTGTCCGATGGCAGTGATCTTCATCAACGAGCCATGCGCCGGACATTGTCAATCTCGGTTGATTTTCAGCGAGAACGTCCGTGGAACTTCCTCGGAACCCGAATACAGTCGTTGGGTTTTCCGACGAAGATTGAATTTCCGCATCAGATTCCTGCGCTGGTTTTCGGCTCTTCGGCCCTCCCCCGGGTGGATTGTGGTGTCTCCAGGTCCTCTATGGGTGCTCCGATTCATTTGCATGCGAAAAGACATAGCAGCGGGCAGCGGGTACACTGCCCGTGGAGCGAACGTATCTCGGGCTCGGCCCGGTGAGTTTATGATAGCCTCTGGAACCTCGTTTGCAGCAACAAAGATACATACTGACTGGATAGCGTTCATGAGTATGCTTTCAATCTCCCTAATAGGACCGTTTACGCTCCCACGGCTCTGTTCAGAGGTGGATGATCATTTGAGGTAATCAGTCTCGTTGGTGATTTGCACGTACAGCATGTTTGAACACGAAGAAACTTATCCGTGTGACATCAAAGCAAGCAGGATACGGTCCTGCGTCCATGTCTGGCCGGTCTCTGGAAATCTCCCGGAACTGCAGATGATCACCACTGATTCTACTGGCTCCCGGGGCGATCCGACTGAGAGTTTCGGTCGCGCCATCTCAGCACGCGAAATCAGGGCATCTTCTAATCTTCTCTGGGTATGCCTGTTCCGGAGGGGGCGATGAGGAAAATCCAATGATACACGCACGTATGAATTCATGTCACCAAGTCGTTCAACTGAATCAGGCCGGCTGATGTGTACAGCCATGAGTTTATTCTGCCGACACTTTCGCTGTTTCCGGCTCTCACGGACCATGTCAGCCAGAGTGGTGAGGAGCGTCGACAACGTTCGGTATGAAGCGGAACGTTTATTCGAGAATAGCAGGTTCTCTGCGTAGAATCATTCGGATTCGATAAACTTCAAGACCCTACTGACGACTCCATGATCAAGTCCAGAAGAGGAAGAATTCTGGTTCAAACGAGTTACTTCAGTCAGCTCCTTTCCGTAACAGTCAGTTTACTTTTGATTCAAGTTCGCTCGGAGTAAGACCCCCGCTCCCTATCACTTTCCTGGCACGGAGGACGTACATTTTGAGTCGATACCTATGTAGGTACGTAGAGGACCCCTCCACCGTGTGGTGGGTGGATTTTGACGATCGCGGTTTCTCCGAGATTGTTCCGAACCTGAGCGATGATATCTCCTACCCTCCCTTTCAGGGGGTGAGCTTCGATGATTCTATCGCTCTCCGGCGACTACGCAGCTCCTCCCATCGCGGGACATGGATGAATGATTTCCCCTTCTCCCGAGAAGGGGTTGACTCGGAGCTCTAGACTCGTAAGCTCCTACGGAGATAATCGAATACTGACCGCTCTGCGGGATGGAGAGCTGGTTCAATCGGGACTATATGCTATCATCATGGGGCGATATCTGATGAAAACGTCTCAAAATTCGGAATTCTGTGAGGCTGTCAAAAAATCAGAGAGATGCGAATCTTCTACTGTCATCAGAATGGGGCTCCAGAAGAGACAGACGGTAACTCATCGAGATGGATTCGGTCCTGCGAATAATACCTCGAGCTCGTCCGGAAGCTTGAAGCCACCCGCGTAGCGTTCGAGGACTCGCAAAAGGCTTGTCGTAGGTCTTCCGGAGTGCTCTGATACAAAGGTCCAGACTTCAAGCAGTCCGAAGGTCGTGGATCGAGAGAAACCGGGGTCTTCCAAAGGTCCCGGTGACATGGGACAAAGTTCAGTAGAGAACAGGCGAGCCTCATCTCCATCGCTACTTTGCGGGCGCCCCTTCCGAGCTCCACATTTACCAGAGTGTCCGAGCTAGCTGATCTTCGCCTTGTCGCTCAGTGTCTGACCCGAATGTGACGGCCTTATTCTGCATATCGACTCCATGAGGGCCATACGTTAGGTATGTGCCTATGAACAGAATTGTCAACATACCGTTGTAGCGCTCCGGAGAAGCTAGCGGTTAGAAGTGAGATCACGCTTGCCACGGAACCTGGCAATGTTCGTACCGGCAGCAATGAAAACCCAGACATCTTCTCGCTTCTGTCTCTAGACCTGCCGGTGTCTGCGCTAGTCGCGAAGAATATTCGCTTCACATCGAGATGAACACCGATTTTCCTACAATGACTGATCCCCAGGCACAGCAGTCTGATATCTCGTAGACGGTCTCAAAAGACGCGAGAGACAGTCCACACATTCTCGGCAGCTGCGACTGCGGGTCATTCAGCAGGGGAAATTTTCGCGGAAGGGAATGGGTAAGGTCCCTGTTCCACGGGGAGCACTTTGCTTCCTTGAGGATTTGAAGTTCCGCAGATCTCATTGAGCCCCCGTCCGGACACGCGATCTCCTCTACCATTTCGATCGTTCCCGTCTCTGGGGCCAAGCATATATCTTGCTCAACAAAGTCTCGTAGCCTGACGCTCGATATGTTCTCGGCCTGAGATTAGGCTCGCGGAGGAGAACTTTGGTGGCACCACAACTCCTGGCGATCATGAGTCGGAAGTGACGATAATGATCGAGCTCGACCGTCTGCAATTTAAGACTGGCGAAATCGCTGATCGATGGTTCTGCGTTCCTGACTCCATAGTTGGATTCAGGGGCGGCGCAAGGAAAATGGTCCGCGGGCTTCAAACATGGAACTTGAAAGCCAGCTTCCCAGCTCAATGGTGGGATTGGTGGGGAGAAAATGTCATTAGATGAGATACGGGTAGAGTCGGGTCATCATGACGAGCAACCTGCATGCAATATCCGTCGTTAATCTTTTTTTCCGGTTTATCTAGTGATCACGAATATCCTCTATGACGAGGGCTACCGACTTCCAGCTAGGGAATACCGCCTATATTCCGCGCCCATTCGAGGTCTGCGACCTGTGACCACCATCTACACGGCATGGGGCTGCTTTCAAGTATTGCATCGCTTCGCGGAAATAGAGGACCCCTTGCGGCATTTCACAGAGAGGGACTTGTTTGGTATTTCCTTCAGACTCATGCCTGAGCGTATCCTTCTGGAGGGAGAGCATCCTACGGCTCCTTCCCAGCACCAGCCATCGTGGAACATCACCTAAACGCTTATTACGGTCTCCAACGCGTCATCACTCATCACTCATAACGAAGCTTTGAGTCCAGCGCCTCAAAAAGCCTCCAATATTGACGCCCGGGCGAAAATATGCACCACCTGCCCTTAGATCCGAAATTGTCTCACGGGATTTTATCTACAGAGATCGGACGTAGCTCCTCCGTCGAGGGCTGGCGATTGCCTGTGCAAGTCTCGTAAGACGGTGGAGGAGACTCGGATGATGCTCGTTGTCCGATGGTTGTGGCTCTCCCGATGCTCGGAAGAGGTGTTCCAAAGCGTTCAGGGTTCTTGCGCACCGAGCTGTAAGATGGCGGGTCGTCTGAGGCTCTTGACAAGGCGTGCCGATCTCCGTTTAGTCCCCTCATAGCAGAATTCAGGTCTCGCTGGTGATTGCATCTCGGGCACCCGACGGCAAGCACACACAGGAGAACTGATACCGTTGCCAACGTCATCGCGAAATAGAAGAAGAATTGTGTGCTCCTACCGGGGGAGTAGAGCAAAATGCAAGAATCTGTAACGTAAAATTCTGCGACTGAAAGCAGGATGAGCGGGTTTCCGTTACCGCATCTCCCCCATTGACTCCGCTCCCGGCTGACCTCGTAAGACGCAATACCGAATCTCTGGAAGATTTTCGCAGCTGACGGAGACGTTTCCAAGTGTGTGTCTGCTCTTCGGAAGCATCATCTCGCATAGCCGATTCGGACTCGATAGCTCATTGAATCCTGAAGAGACATCCCTCGATCACCACGATGATTGTCCCAGGTATGTGCATGGGAACCGCGAATATAATAATATTGAGATCTCGGCGAGAGACGCCTGCGTACTGGAGTTGAGACACTTCGCCTTTTCGAGGTAGCCATCGTAGTAACACCTCTCAGGATCCCGACACTGTAGCTGTCTGTTGTCTCCGATGATATGGTGTCTCCTCGAAGCTTTCTGCGAGGCGTCGAAGATCAACGCGCTCTCTGTTCTGATATCGTAGTAGTCTGTGCCTGGAATTAGGCCGCTCCCTGCCAACTCTGGCTGGAATTTATTTTCCACATTCCCTTGAGGTCATTATTTGCTTTGTGATTATCCACGCTGTTCAAACTTTAGGAAAATTATCTCAGCGATACCAAAGCTCACGAAGCGATTCACTATAAACTAACCTCCGCAATCTAGATCCCGGTTGAGTTTTACGCTCTTCGACACCGATTCATTTCGATCACTACCACCGAAACTCGCTGATTCGACCATGGGATCGGCACGAGCTGAGAGAATAACCATCAGAAGCAAATCGTATTTCATCGTGTTCTCACTCTGGAAGCTCTGCGATACTCATGTCACTGACTCTTCCAACTAAGCTGAGTATCTTCTTTGGAATGAAGTCCACTCGATATTGTCCGGAGAACAATGATACCCTTAGGTGGCATTCGGCGCGTCGATATTCTTAGCTTTAATCTTGGCAAAGAGATACGGGTTCTGTGCTACCTAGCAGCCGCATTCAATCGATGGTCCGATATTTTTACTCCTAATGCAACACGCGAATTGAATACCAGAATTTATGTCTGAAATACCCTCCGAGATAAGGTAATCGGGACAGGGAGACGACAATATTGTCGGCAAGCTTCCTCATTCGACATCTTATCAGCTCCAATATACCGGAATCCTCCGAGAGATCAAGTCCGACTACTTCGTTCGATTATTGTGTTCATCGGATGATTCAAATATTTACAATGACAATGATTCAGTCCCCCCTCCTCGGTTCCGCGAGGTTCGTTGTAACGAGACTTCACTGTCTCTGGTCAGGTGAAGTCTGCGACGAGATGCAAAAGGCATCCCCCTCCATCTTCACGATTCTTCACCGGAACATGTTTCGTATTCTGGCGGCGGAGTCTCAGATAGAGCGCGTTCGGCGTTGCCATGGAAAGGTTTCTTGAAACGCGTCGGACTCCTCTCCACGGTGTTGTACGACGGGGGAACGTCAATCGTAGAATCATACTCGTCCTGAATTGTGCGAGATCGAACTTGAAGAGGATCTCTCCGCTGGAGTTCTAGACGAGAAATTCGCAGCCTACAGACTATCATCAGTAGACAAAAGACTCCTGTCAAGATGATAGCCGACATGAAGAAGAACACGGAGCTTGTGATGGGTTTATACGGTACGTAGATCAAGATACAAGAACCTGCGTGGAATGATTCCGCTGATTGTTGAGCTTTGAAGCAATAATGATAATTTACGATTCCTCGGACCCTCTGACCACAGATTCCTCTTGAGGCACTGACCTCTGAGAACGCAGTACTTCAGTCTTCCAGAGATTTCTTCACAGCTCACAACCGAAGAATACACGCGGTACGTGAGGTCGGGGAATATTGCCTCGCATCGCCAATCTGGTGTGGAGAATCCGTCTCCCCCTACACGGTGCGAGTCGAGGAAAATGGTGAAATTTGGAGCGCTCGCAATTTCGTGACCAAGAGCACCCTCGATCCGAGTAAGGATTCTCACCGTTCCCATTGAAACAGCTCGCTTGCTCTGCGAGTCCGCTATAGGCACACGCCGCCGGGCTCTGACACTGCAGTTGTGAGTTGTCTCCAACGGGGGAGTTCCTCCGTCGAGCTTCTTTGTCAGCGGAAAAATACAACGAGGACTCTGCCCTAATGTCGTAGTAATTATCGTCAGCTAAATCTGGAACAGATTTGAATATTTTTGAAGTTCCGTGCTCAGGGCATCCTCCGCTGAACTGAATAGCGCGGATGGCCGGACGTGGCGCATCAAACTGCTTCCGAAAGTTGCCTGCTCGAATTCACGCGGCCGGACTTACCAGCACATGCATGCCCTTTGCTGAACTCTGTCCTGGACGGAGATTCTTCTGCGCGAATGGATGTTGCACGAATGGATAAGCCGTTGATGAAATTGAAGGGGGCGACAAACAAAATCACTGATAAGGGAACGAACCTCATGCTCGGACGAGCTTGAGCTCCCAATTCCCCTGGAGCTTCCCCTCGATTCACAGTACACAGCCGTTGGCTTGGAACTCCAGGGTTGTCGCACGATACGAGTTCCTCTCGACTTAAAATGCCATGTACTCGAGTACAATAATGCCACGGGTATGGATCCTGCTTGAAAGTACTCTCCGCTAATCATTTGTAATCCTCTGGGAGAGCTTCGAACTTATTTCCTTACAGCGGAGGCTGTAGATTTTTTTTCCGAAAAACGCATCCCTCTAATGCTCGATTCCAATCCCAGCCGCCGAATCCATTTTGCTGGCGCCTAATATTAATACAACCCGGATGCGTAGGTCGAGTGATGCAGGCGGCTCCCTATCGAATGACGAATTTCGCCGTATACAAGAGAATTCGAGGGAGATCTACCCTTTGTCCTTCCCAGATTTTCTCATAGTCGATCTCTTTTCAGACCGTTTCGCGTTTCTAAGATCGCAACAGCGGGAAAAGCTGCAATCAACGGGGCAAACATCTCTGCGTTTATCTGATGACGCTGAATTCTGAGCTGGATTTCTACAGCTCTCCGAGAAGAATTCGACGGCTCACGGCTGTCTCCAACTATTCTCTCATACGCACGGCCTGCTCAAAAATGTTTCCTGGAGAGTTGGACGTTCGATTATTATTGAGAGTTTTAGCATTGGAATTAATGGGGCAGCCTGAGAACGCTTCGGGGTCACCCGTACGTTGTCGAGGACCGTGCTGGGATAGGATTCTTTTCGGAATAGCCCGATTCTGCGGACGAGCTGTGGGCGTCCCGTTTGGGAAAACAGACAACTATAGATGATGGAACACGAGTGAGCTAGACAGGTCGAGACATCCGAAACGACACTGTTCGGGCGGGATGGCTCTGACTTGGGGCATCGTTCGATTCTCGGAGATTCCGAGTCATGGGGACTTCGCGGGCTCGTTTTTTTTATGGAAAGCACTTCGGGCTTCACGATCCGATCCTCGTGCTTGCTGAGCGGGATTCCTATCCGGAAATACTGTATTGGAGCGACAGTTCGACGGAGCTTCCCCGGCAGAAGGACAATTCTTTTATAGCGAATTTCGCGCATCGATTCCTCGAGCGCGTGACAAGACGGCTCACGCAGCATAGATGTCGCTCACAGAAACTCGATCGTGTCGACGAATGCGTGTTCAGAGAGAAACAATCAAAACATAAAGGGAGATGTGCTCAATAGCACTGCTGGCGTTGGTTGCAACTTCAGTGATGACCGATTCCGGTGTACGTGGAACTTTCCAGACTTCTTTCAACATCCCCATACCAGCCGAAGTGATTCATAACTCAACCCACGCAAAGACCACGCTCCACAACGCTACGGTGCTTTTCCCAATGATGAACGAGCAGAAACAGGGATACCCCTTTTGTAGCCGTGAGTACGTTTTTCATTACTCATAGTTCTACTCCCGGTGTGGATTCTCATCGGCGAACTCCGACTCCGCGTGGCTTTTGGGAGCGAGCATCGCATTGGAGGACCACCTGAGCTACAGCTGCCCTCTAATCTCTGGGGAAGAGCATGACAAGAGCCGATTTCCGGGATCGGTATGTGTTTCCTTCTCCCAAGGGCTTATCCTGAAGTTCAGGTACTCCGAATGTCCGCCGTGAGAATCTCGCCAAAGACCGAGTCACTATTAATATCCACTGCATATAGCGATTGAAACAAGCATTCAAGAGGAAAGTTTCTTGCAGTGGTCGGGTTTGACTTGTTTTTGCAGCAAACCCTCGTCTTCCGGGCCAATACTACTGTCAAGAGAAGCAAAGCTCCTCTGCGAGAGCCCACGGAGCTCCAATGCAAAGACTCAAGGCTGTGTGAGACCAATCAGACAGCTTCGACGGTGACCTGCGTGAATCAAGGTCAGGGTTGCGTCCAAGATAAGCAAAATGATTCGGAGCGACTAGACTGAGATTCAAGGTCAGCTAGTCTAGCCGACTATGTCAGATCCGAATCTACCTCAATGGATACACAGTCGGAAGAATCTACCCTCTGTTAAACACATTTTCCGAGAATGCTCCCTATTCCCCCTCCATCTTAGTTAGAGAAAAATGGAACTTCTCTCTCTCCCAAGGTCCCAACGCAACCGCGAACGAGTGGAAATGTGACGCCGATTTCCCGTCGAAAGATATCGTGATTCAGAAAGCACACATAAGCTGTGAGCGACTCTATGCTCAGTGTGTACTTTTGAGTAAGTATTGACCTCCGGCAAGGTTCTTGTGCGGCAGACCTCCCTGCCCCCGCAAGCGGACTGATGCGCTCTCCTCAAGCTCAAAATCATGTAACACAGAAGGAGAAACTCAAGCTCCAGGCATCGAGGCATCGACTAAGGACAACTCCCCCATAGAGTAGGTCCCTCGACCGCGGCTGCGACTTGGAATTTTCACGCGGTCCTTTTCAGAATCTTGCGTACTGGTCTACACGCCGATGGAATACTCGCCGGACTGGCACATGTTCGTGGCTTGGGGCGTCGGAGTTGTCGTCGCCTTGGTAGCGATGTCCGTGGGAATATCAGCATGCGCGAGACGATCTATGAACTTTGTCCCGACTGCCATCTCGACCGTGTACAGTTCGTCTCAACGCCTCTGATGTGAAAGGGGCCATCTCATGTCAACCTAGGAATTCACTCAGACGGTGTAGGTACTATGAAGGACTTCGAAGAGCGAGCAGCCGGGATATCGATTCGAGTAGCTCTCCTTCCGTAGATGTGGCGGCTCTTCATGGGAAGAATGCTTCACGATGAGACGGAACGACCCAATCGATATTCATAGTTGTCGCTGAAGAAATGAAACGACATTTCCTGGTTGTCTTCGCGTCGCGATCAACTCCGAATCGGAGAGGGGGTTCGCGGGTCGACACATAATGAAATAATAAACAAAATGCTTTTGAGAAGCGTCGTCATCATGCTCATAATGGGACCCGGACAAGAGCCACGGTGGAAGACATGCCTGCTCCGCGAAAGGCTAAGGATTCAGAGACTTTTCCGTCCGGTCTCAGTCTCACTTTTGTCGTCAACTCTTTCGCCCCTGCACAGTAACTTCCGTGACCCTGAGTAATTCCCTGAGATCGGCGTCCCGTATTGCACCATCACGTTCCAATCTCACCGGAGACGGTCCTCATCCGAGTCTGATCCGACTCCGAGAAGATAGCATAAGATGCCGGTTTTGCCGTGCCATTCCCCTCCCGGCTGTGTGTCACCTCGATAGACACATTCGATAAGTTCCGTATTTGTATTATGCGCCAGCTTTATGGGCCATAAATCCCTCTTACGACGTGAACTTTCGAGATAAGAGGCTGTAAACCTTACTGGGCTGAGAAGATGCCGAACAGAATCTATGGCGGGAACTCTATCGAAACAGACCGAAGTTTGGACGGCTGAGTTCGGGGATGGCACCAATTTTCTTCGCTGTGGTCGCCTCCTTGATGAGTTGTGTTGCTTCCGCCAATGTAGGGGAGACTGCCGACTCGGTCAAACTGAGGAATTTCCGAGACTTCGGAGACTTCTATCAAGCAATCGGAGGTGAGCACCCTTCTCTATTAAGAATCATATTTCTCCGGATGGGCTCCCTATATGGCGTATCTTGCGAATATTCTGCGGATGGTACCTGTATCTTAAATTTACAAAGGAGACATGTGTGTCGTCTATCGCTCGAGACCATTTCCTGATTGTGCGGATCTGATTGGATTGCAATTCAAGGAAGGGAATGAATATACATACTCCGGAAGGTGAAGACCTTGACTCCGGGTTCATGGGGGACCAGATCTCAAGGCTGCTTCTTACTTCCAGATCGCGGAAATATTAGGCGAGACGATCTCATGCCGTTCGAGAGGAAGCCAATACATGTCCCGATTGTGATCCATGTGGCGCTCTATGTAGCAATGATTCCCACGATTCTCTTCACTTACATGCTGGTAGCTCAACTGCTGAGTAATATTCGTGATTATTTACTCTCCTCGAGATCACGGGTCATTCTGAAGCCTGCCTTGCTTCTGGAACGTAGCGGGAGTTCACCGACAAAAGATATCTCTACATTTCTGAAGGCAGAGGTTCGTGACGACCGCACCCTGCTCAAAAATTATTTTGTTCCATCTTATTCATGAAATCACATCGACAAGCATTCCTACCGCAGATCTCCTCCGAAGATTGTGTATGTGCTAGTTCCGCCGAGATCACTAAATAAAGAGCTCCGCCGGCGGGTCGATTATATCGGAATCTCTATTGTTGTTCTAAATTACAAGACTGTCGTAAGATCTGACTCATCATAGGATTCCCGTTCTGGATCAAGAAAGGCAGGGCAAGTCTGGGCGGTGTGAAAGTTTCGAGCCTCAGACGGGACTTAGTTTTTTGTTCTCAGTCAGATGTCAAGCTGGCTTGGCGCTCTGGAATCTCGTGCGATTTCCACTTTGTTCAGACGCATGAGAGGTCTCTCGGTTTGCCCTTAATGCCCTGAATCCGATAGCTCATCTCACAGGTCAGAGAACGCCATGACACGACGGCTTCGCGGAATTTTCCGAATCTCGACTCCGATGGTCAAGCCTCCAGAGATATTGGCATCCGCGGAAAATGTGTCGAAGACTCGTCGAGGATATGTATGTGCAGCTTTTGGGGCTATGAAAGCAAGTGATAGCTTAGCGCGCGGCGACTGATTCACAAATGACCTGCACTTTTCGGAACAGCGACCTACCTAGGGTCATGATCGGTATCGGCAAGGATCGTTAATCGAGATCCTTGTGAGACTTCCGAATGAGCGTCTCTCGCGCCCACTTCCCTGGACCCGATCATGATCTAGAGGTTGGTCGTAGCGATACCTTTCATGGAGGACGCAGCGAGCCGCTCCATGCACTGTGTTGCTCTCCTGGTCTCCGTTAACTTCCTCCAATAGTGTATAGAGATGAGGAGCAGGAGGCAGACTACGAATGCCATCACGATGGCATAGATCATCAGGGCCAAGCCCCCGTATGTAGGAACGTAGTAGAGCACACAGGAATCTGAGACACAAAATAGAGAGATGTAATTGACAACCCCGAGCAATGCTTCGACACGTTAGGTGTCGAAAAGAGAGGGATAAGAGAGGATTGCGGCGAACCTTTGAGAATACACGAGTCATCGGAGGCTCCGGAGTCGTCGTGCTCGCATTCAATGATCAGAGAATCCAGGATTACATTGCTGTCGGGTAACTCAATTTCGCAGCTCCAAGTTTCATCCGAAGGATCATCTGCATGAGCATTTCTCGTGGTCATCGGGAGCGGCAGTTCCATTGATTGTAGAAGTCCGGAAAAGAAATCGGCTCACCTATAAGATCGCACGTGGCGGAGGTCGCGGGCGATACATAGCCACAGAGAGTGGAGTTCTGACACTGTAGTTGGAGAGGATTTGCGAGGGAGGATGAGATCGTGCGCATGGCCTTCTTTCCTTCACGAAATTCGAGGGTTCCCACTTTCCTGATGTCCTCGAATCCAACTGAAATCCCACGGAAGAATTAGGCTCCCTCCCTACGGAATTCGTGCAAGTTTCCGACGCACTTAAGTTTTCGTATTCGTGACCCATGGGAACGCCGTCTCGGAATTCGATTCTTGATGAATATCCCTGGGAACTTCTGAGCTCCAACGTTTGTTCAGCTATCGGTGACTTGCCTTCCTCCCGACATTTCGCTACCGTTGAAAGTTTTTCGAAGGCATCAAGCTTCTCCATTTTGATGGATCTTCCATCGACTCGTATCGAGAGTATGAGGAACAATGAAAACACGCATGGTATCATAGTCCGAACGTTCCAAGACTCCGCAACTTCCAGGTTCATACACGAATATCTTTGAATCTCATCTTAGTCTTGGATTGGCTTCGAAAATTCCTTGTCCGGAGCCCGAGGTGGAGAAGCAGCCAGTACTGCAGACGAATCGCGAAAGAGGGAGATAATCCTGCGTACTCCCCGTGGATAACTCGTTGAGCTCAGGATAGCTTAATGCAGCTTTCGACGGGGCCTCCGCGAAGTCCGAAACGTCACGAAGCATTACTCCACGCTCGGCTAGGAGTTTTAGAGACATTCCTCGAGACACGTCAAGGGGTGTCAGTCAGCCGTACACGGGGAACACCGATCCATTCAGATTTGGAGCGCGATAAGAAGCATTGAGCGACTTCAATATGAAATTAAAGCCTCGGCCGCCGGCGACGGATACCTGCACCTGCACCCTGCACCTGAGTGTGCAGGGGTATGCATGCAGCAAGACCTAATCGGAACTTGGCATCCACGGCCTTGATACAGCCCACTCTCCCCCCGAATCTTCCTTCAGAAGGGAAATAATGTGGCTGTTGCGTCTGTATGAGCCAGCCAGTGATGGTTTCCTAACGTGTACAAGAAAATACGCCGGGAAACCCCCACGGGCTTCCGATCTCGTTAAAACTTGGCGAAGAGGCGTCGATCGACTCCATGGGAATGTTTCCGATCAAGTACCGATCAGTACGCACGGCTGGGATGATTCGGAGCTCCGAGCAGGCTAAATTATTTTCTGGGATCTCCTATGGTCCGGAGTTCAAGGGGACCGGGTATGAGTGACGAACGTCCATATGTTTCCTCTCGAAGCGAGCCCTACGAAGAGGACCGATCCCATATTTTCCAGCTCGACCAAACTGGTCCGGGAATCAGCTGCGCAAAAGTTGACGGAGAAGCCCGGAGCGCTCACGGAGTCCCACGGGAGTGCTCGCTGAGACTCATCTTCGATGGCGGACCTCGACGTCCGTTAGGATGAACCTGATAAACTTCGCGAATATTTTCGCAGCGACGAGAGCAAAACTGATCCCGCAAATGATGACCAGACCCGAATGCGGCATCATGAAGGAATTGATCGGCGTGTACAGGAGAACACACGAATCTGTTCGAGACAACACAGAATCAAGACCCTCAGATCCCTTGGGGTCGACGACCTTGGCAGCGACCGACAACGAAGGATTCGGAATTCGGAACCCATGTATTAAAGAAAAGACCAGGCTCGCTTTGAAGGATGCATGCTTCCGTCTCCGGGAGCGTTTCACAATCGATCTCGGAGTCAATAAAGCTGACGAGTAAACCTTCGCTTCTGGTGAATCGCAAAGCTGATCCTGACTCCTGACTTAATGCATCTGATTCCTCATCGAAAATTAGGAAAAAAACGGAGTCTCCCGTGCTGACCGCCACAGGAGCCGGAGCGGCAAACAGGAGAAAGCTTCGACTTAAATATGGGAGTATATGGGGCAAGTTTCTCATTATGAGCCGATAACATCCTGGAAGAGATCCTTTGCATGCATGATTATCCCACGAGCTGGAAAAGCATGAGGGGAGCCCCAAATAACGATGTTCGTCGATCACTTCATCATTTCACTTCGAGTTAAACCTCGATGATCATGACTCATGACTCATGAAAGAAACAGGGGAGGGCAGGGGCTCTCTATATATCTTGGAAGGAAACTTGGCACCCAACGACCCAATGTCATCATCGAAGATAAAAAGGCGAAGGATCGGCGAATATCTTCATTTGTGGGTCTCCCTATGCTTTCCCAGCACGCGTGATCAAAATGCACGAGGAAAATCCCTTCTGGGATGTTATCGGCCTGAATTGAGAAACTTGCCCCATTGAGCCCCATGTTGAAATTTTCTCCTGTTTGCCGCCCGGCTCCTGTGGCGGTCAGCACGGGAGACTCCGTTTTCTTTCCTGATTTCTGACGAGGAATCCGATGGTCTCACTTAGTCTGGATCAGCTTCGCGGTTCACCAAAAGTGAAGGTTTACTTGTGAGACCAGAGGTCCGGAATTCCGCTTTGCAAATAACATTGTATTCGGCTCGGGGGTCGAGACCTGTAAGCAGCGAGCATCGGATTGTTCCGGAGAGCTCTATCGCTGACTTCGGGTGCTTCTGGTCGTTGGCGGCTCTGGTCTCGCAATGTCCTAGAAAATATCTGGAACACCAATAATTCTCGGGACTGACACAAATTGAACAACTTTGCTTGGAGGAAGTGCGCTTGTTCATCTGTACAGAGTTTCGAATTCACACATTGGAGCACTCTATTCAAATCCAGAGATGAGTTTTCGCGTTTCACAGTCTGATCGACACCGAAATGCAGAACTTTCTGTTTTTGGATGTCAAAATAATTATTTGGAGAGATGTATAGGATTGAATACTCTGATCATCAACATGGAATTCACGATTGTCACAGCCGGTTACGTGAATGGTCTTAGGGAGGGCTCGCTCGACGAGCCGCCTCTCCCTTAGCGATATGGTCAACTCACCGGGACAGCCCCCATCAAAGACTCTCAGAGTTTTCTCCCGACCGACGTCAATGGAGATATCGCTCGCCGCATGAGCGACTGAAAACAAGAAGGTCAGAGCCATACCACGTCTCGGACGGCATCGAAAAAAAAATGGAAAACACAGAAAAAAAATGGGAATCCATGCATCCGTTGAGCCCTCCTTGTCCCCGTCTCATGTGCGTCCGAATTATTCTCACAAATTTCAGAGTTCATTAGATCGAGCGCCCGATCATCTCGGCTCTACAAGGAAGCTGCTGGGTGCGATTCGGTTTCTGGAGCAGGCAATTGGATTAAGTCTCTATTGACAATTTTATTTCCTTGATATTCCGCTCGTCCGAGAATAAATCCGGAGACTTCGCTGTCGTCCCGGAGTCTACCCAGTCTTCTCGTAAGTCAACTGCATCCGACGAGTCGGTTGGTCGAATGGCTGGCGCGCCCAAACGCCGATTTATATCGACCCTTACCGAAAGGCAAGCTCCCGACAGGGATCCATCTGGGTCCACCCGCACTCAGTATTCGTTCTCGGAATCAGTAAAGTGATTTCGGTGATGCCCGGAGCATCAAGTCCAACGACGTCTATCAGTCCAAAAACGCGGAAAGCTTGCTGCCTCCTCCCCTCACAATGCTCTGAAGGCCTTTCCGGAGTTTATATAATCGAATACTGACGCAGAAAAATGAGGCTTTTTACAGATTTCTCTGAGAGTTGAATCCCCATCACAGAAATGTCTCGGGCTTCTCCTCGCATTAGTCTCTCCTCGGTCACAGTGGGAGACCCAGGGAACAGTTGTGATTGTATCGATCACGAGAACTCTCTCAAACAGCCATCACTGCGGGATGTCATTCGTCAATTGTGAACTTTCGCCGAGCGCACAAGAGTTCTCCGGGGAATAGGGGCCAGTCGTCGGCAGAGTTTGTACGTACAGGTTGAGCTCGGCGGCCTCCCTTGGCAGCAATAGGTGCGGAAGAATCATTGACGTCGTCCTCAGAGTAGCGAGCTCTCTTTCAACAGTTAGCGCGCGACGAGATCGACGGAATGTGAGAAATCCGGCGACGATGCAGCAAATTAAAGCCACGAGAAAGCTGCATAAGACCCACTTCCCGAGATTGGATCCAAACATCCTGTGCACTGTCTGCGGGGTGTAGTAGAGGACACAGGAACCTACGTGAGATTGAGACGAATGATTAGATTTTCCCGATGCATGCCTAGTTTGGTCTGCGACTAGGATCGGGGGTCTAACCTGGCAGGAAGCAGGCGTCTGGCGGAGGGTATGTCTCACAATCAACCCGCCAGCTCCAACATGAGTATAGATCGTGGGCGTTAAAGAACAGCTTGCAGTCGAGCTGAATAATCGAGGAGCCCTTCGCTGTGAACGTGGATATTTTTTAGCCGAAGTAGGAGAGAAACCTCAATTCGACCTCGAGTTCCTCGGGGGACGGCGGATAAGGTGGGAATGAGTGGGATGACCTACGATTATTCAAACAGTAAGCTAGATGAGCGTGCGCCGAGCTGTCGGAGCAGAGGGACGATTCTTCACATTGGAGTCGCATGTCGCGCTCCAAGTATGATAAATTTCGAGTTGCTCTCAAGCCGTCGGAGAAGATGAAGTGTTTCTGCAGCCTCAGGTCGACGTATCCATCTGGGAATGCCATCAGAAGATCCATCAGAGGTAACTCGGTACGTTGACGGATGGGTCGCAATCATGCGAGGTCTTCCCGCCTGAACTCGTAAACATGAGAGGAGACGCATCAGCATTGATCGGGGGCAACACTCACCAGGACAACTCTCTGAGACACTTTCGAATGCGGTTCCACGACCCCGGTTGAAGGTGACATAGTGGTCTGCTCGACCTCTGGAGAAGAGACTACACGCGATCAAGGCGCGCAGCATTATGACAACGCCGCGCCGGATCCTCGGAGAGGACGCAGAGCACGGACAGCGCTCAGATTTTCTCCTTACAATGATTTATTCGAGCGTGTTTTCCCAGGATATTCCGGAACAAAAAGGGCGTTCTCTCGATACCGTCCGGAAGTTGAGAGAAGGAAGGGTCTCCGAGGAAATTGAGCGCACGACGGCGGCGCGCCCTCGCTCCGGACTTCCAGAAGGCCGAGGGGCCATAGATCGATACGCACACCGGCGGTACCCGTTCAACTGTGTCGTTCCGCTCGAGTCTCAACGGAATAATTTTTGACGGCTTACAGATGTGATTCCTATGAGCCTCATTGCTTAAACCAGTCTCCAACGATTTTTCCATTTTGAGTCTTCCCGTTTTCTGAAGTCACTGTAGAAACAGGCCGTCTGCGGAAGAAAAAGGATGACTGTGTCCGAAGACGCAGGAAATCTCGCCGGACTCTCGGCGGATTCTAGTGGTGCTGGGTCACGGAGAATCACGCTGCCCGAGTTCTTGGGCTCCTCCGAGGATGTCCAGATATTTAAGAGTCATCGACGCCTCTAATGATTCGGACATCTCGAATCTCAATAATTTATTTCGGAGGATACTTCCCGCCGCAGCAGTATCGGGAAAGCTGGGTCAAGGGGATACGATCTCTGGGGGAATGCTGCTTTCCGAAGAACTTGGGCTTTTCGGTATATCCCTCTTGGTGGAGGACGGAAGTCAAGACCAACACAGTAATTTACGGCGAATTTTCGGTTTATCTGGATATGATGACGAAAGTCTTAATGAGTCACAAGCAAAATATCATTCATTCTCCGACAGAAGCTACTGCAATATTTCTCGGTGTTCATGATTCACTCAAGCATCCTGCGTCAAATATCCTTCCTTGGCCTTTCTCGGAATCAGTACGGGGCCACTTTCGGTGGCTCCGGTGGGCTATATGGATGTTCGGGCCCATTATGAGGATGCGGAGCTCTGAGGAGGGGGGCTTGACCGTACGGAGCATGAGTGTACGGTGGGGGAGGATACCGAGACGGTGCGTGATACATTCCCTCCGGATAAACTTGGCCGCTCGGATACTGTTGAGCATGGCTGTACGCAGGCGATGGTGTAGAGATGAATGTAGTCGTGGTTCTGCCGGAGTTCATCGAGCTATTCCGGCTCCGCATCCATACGCAGACAGCCAGAGCAGCGATTGCGATGAGAACGAGAGCGCCGAAGCCAGCCAGAACGTACCTCGATTGGCTCCTACTGGGAGCGTAGAAGAAGACGCACGAATCTGTTCAAACAAGGTTGAGATTACTGACCGTCCTTCTGAATCGATAACTGTCAGAGTCCCCATCAATGGGGAAGGGTACGGAATCGGAGCGAGAACAGGTCCTAGACCACACACGAGACATGCCGGGAACACTCAGAGAATAAGGAAGAAGATCTCGAATCACCTTGCAGAGCGCATATGCTGGACAGGCGGTAATATTCGCAGGTGATGTTCGAACTGACCACCTTGAAACCGCTGCCGTAGAAATCCATTGTGCAAAACCATTTCGGGCTCGAAAGGCCGCGGTCTGGAAGGAGGGGGAGGGGTCAGATCAAACAGCGAGGCCCAAGGAGATATCTTCAGATTATCTGCCTGGCAATCTGCCATGGTCAATAAGAGCGTTTCGAGTGGGCTACCACAAAGCAGAAAAGTACCTGCGTTCTTGCAAGTTGCCAGATCGATTTTGGCTCCGGACGTCGTACAGAGAGTCGAGTTTACACACTGTATCTGTTTCGGATTGTCCCATGTAGTACGTTTCGCAGTCTTATAATCGTAGAACTCCAAGAAGGAAATTCCGTTCACGTTGAAGTATCCGGCTGAAATCAGGCATAAGTTCCTTAGCTGATCCAGGTCTCAGGAACAGGAGTGACGCATTCAAGCCGTGTACATATGCCAGCTACTCGATCCAGGGTCTGAGAAATGGAACGATAGGGTTTGTTCTACTTACGCGGGCAGGATCCGTATTTTTGAGGTGAGAGATCCGTCTCATTTCGAGTCACTTCATCGCTGCTCCTGATATCGGTGTCCGCGTTCCCGTACGCGAAGTAGCACAAGAGGAGCACGATCAGCCAGCTGCGCAACATTACTAGACCTGTCTTTGCCCGACAGCTTCGACGCTTCTCGAGGGACAGTCTCCGCAGATTGCTTGGGCCGTGAGAGCTGTTCCAGCTTAATCTGGAATGATTTTTCCTGTGGGATTAGGCGCTGAACGTGGATTACTCCTATGTGATGCAAGGCTCTACGGCAAAGACTTTAGAATTAGGCATCGCTTGGTCATCGAAGCTCACCTCCTAATCACTCTCTATCGGATCGCTGACGTCAGCTTCTCGGGGATGCGCTAAGGCTCCGCGTCGAGTTGAACCGGTCGCACGGGCTACACACGTCTGTCCTTGGCGTTCCGAAACCCAGACTGTACTCCGATTGGAAACATGACGGTATTGATCGTAGCAACTCTTCCCTAGGGAATTCATCGTGGGCGAGAGATTCTGTGAAGCGACTCCACATGCGTCGAATAGACAAATTTCGCAGGTAGAAGGGGGAAGCCTCGGGAGCCTCCACGCGTTTCGAGTAAGGAAAAGCCGGTGTGTTTCAAGGAGTATGCCTGGCATCGTACGCGACGCTTCGACACGCAGAATTACCCACAGAAGCTGTCGAGGCGGGCGCGAACCTTGGCTCCGTCCAGTCCACAAAAGAAGTATTCCGGCGAGCAACCGCGCTGGAGCGCTTCAACCCGACCCCGACCTCGTGGATGTCGGTACACTTCGTGATGTGGACATCCTGCGCGGATTCGGAACTTCCTGTGTACAAGCTCACATGGTGTCTCCGAATGTAGCCTCGAGTCAGGATCCGTACCCTGCACCAATGATCGTCGCGGTAAGAACATACTGCCGGAGGTCGTGAACCAGCGAGGTCGGAGCGTTACTCGGCTCGGACCGAGCTCTCGAATATTCGTCTCTGAGCGATTTTCCGGGTACCAAACAAAGACCAACGCGTCAATCGCAGCCCCCGCCTAGAGGTGGACTCGGGAGTGATTCCCTACTCATAGGAACGGAGGCGTTAGTTAAGAACGGGACGTTTCTACTAATAACGGGACCTTTCTACTAATTGTAAGACCGGGACGTTTCTACTAAGAACGGGACCTTTCTACTAAGAACGGGACGTTTCTACTCAAAACGGGAGGTGTGAAAACCACGTTTCCCACAGCGTTCAGCCATTACGGCTGAACATTCCGTGCTTGGATGTCACAACGAAGTGGCGTTCTCCTAAGAATAGCTAGTATGAGAAGCTCCAAGCCATAAGTCGCAGTCTCGAGGAGCATCTCCGCGGCGAGGAGCATAGGATATCGGAACCGATACCGAATTCCCGGAGGCCGTTTTTGGAAGAACGTGACAGAATCCCGTCCGAATGATAGTTTACCAAAGAGAAAGGCGAGACCCAATCGCATTTTTTTGCTGGGCGCAAAGACGTCCGTAGAATTTCGAAACTATTGAACATGCACCACTTCCATCGCATTTGTTTACTTTCGGGAGAGATCCAGTATCGGGAGTCCGACACAGAACACAGGGCGTAGTCCTACGTCAGTATGGGTAAATGGGCGTAAAGAGGCATCTGAGTACCTTTCTGCAACCCCTACGTGTGATATCCAGAAGAGGCCCTAGAGAAGTTCATGACCGCGAATTCCCGGGACTGGGTTTTCCGCGTACTGGGAGGAATTTCAGAATGACTTCGGGATTTTCGACCCGCTGGGGATGAATGCACGAGCTTCGCCAGGAACACCTCCCGTCTCGCGTCGGGGAAGTCGACTCCCCGGAGCCGATTTCACCCGTGAGACTCCTTGAACCCACCTACTCATCAGAACAGCACATCGAAGCCGTAAAGCAATCGCCTCTATATTTGTTTTGTACGTTGCATCAGAGCTCGTATTCGTCTATCATCGCTCATTGCCTAAACGTCGCACAGTGGTCCAGAACGGCCAAAAATCAGCTTTGCCTCCGAATGCTTCTATAACGATTTTTCAGCATGTGTCTCGATGCCCGGACTCCTGTTAGGGTCTCGGAGGGTGCGCGATCGATGCGCGGAGCATTCCAATGGCGATGTTTTCTGACAGGAATTCATCCCAGAATATGGTTGCCCGAATGGGAGGAGAAACATTCTTTGAAGAGAAAAGAAAAGAAAAAGAAGAAAAAGAAAGAAAAGAAGAAAAAAAAATTAAGCAAAACTTATATTCAGCGTCGATCCCCTGAAGGCTCTACAGCTCTTGCTCGATCTGAACATAGCGAAGGAACTATACATAGATCTGAGACTTGAATTGGAGAGGGCTTGTTCTTGATGCTTTCCCTGCATACAACAGGGTGTTGACTGAGAAGAAACAATGCTATCCGACCAACATCGAGGCAACAGAGAAGCACGCTTCCGTCCCGCTGAGGGATCTCCTAGAGCACTCTGTGAAGCGATTGCTCAGCTCGCTTCCGGAACCAGAATTCACCCTGTTGGAGGAGCACTTGACTTTCTTGTCAAAATGGGGTTGCGATGGATCCTCTAGACACTTGGAGTACAAACAGGCGTCCTTGTGTGATTCTCTTTCGGACGGTAATCTATTTATCGTTTCTGTGACCTCTCTCCGACTTAGCAAGACTTCTGAGGAAACGGTTATCTTCTGGAACAATCCCAAGCCTTCATCTACGAACTATTGTCGACCCCTTAGATTCGAGCTGACTAAGGAGACGCCGGAAGTGATCAGAGCACACGTAGCTCGAGTCGAAGAGGAGCTATCGGACCTCGAAACATTCGTGGTAACGGTGAGAGGATAAACTTTCTCACAAGGACTTCAAAATGATCCTATCAATGATCGACGGCAAGATTATCCAGATCATCAATGAAGTGCCTTACATACATGGCTCAGTGCGTAATTTGCAAAGCCAAGCCACCTGAAATGAACTCATTGGACTCATTTTTTTTCTTTCTTCGTTCTTTCTTTCTTTCTTTCTTTCTTTCTTTCCTTTTTCTTTTTCTTTCCTTTTCTCTTCAAAGAATGTTTCTTCTTTCATTCGGACAACCATATTCCGGGACGAATTCCCGTCAGAAAACATCGCCATGGGAATGCTCCGCGCACTCATCGCGCAACCTCCGAGACCCAAAATGGAGTCCGGGCATCGAGACACATGCTGAAAAATCGTTATACAAGCATTCGGAGGCGAACCTGATTTTTGGCCGTTCTGGACCACTGTGCGTCGTGGATCGAGGGATGATAGGGGCTGGGCGAACGCTTCTTATCCGTGTCACCCTGCACGGGTAAGACAAGATGATCCCATCATGGGCTGGAGTCCAACGCGAGCTATCACTATCACTCGACCTCATGCCAGTTATGGCACAATCTCTCCGGCAGCGTGCTCCCCCGAAACTTCACGCCAATGGAATCAGTAGATGGAGTCATTTATAACGTAGTTGTTCTTCTATTGCGGAGCGTAATTAGGGTTATAAGGCGCAGACGGAGGGTACTGCGGCCCTTGCGGTGGAGGCGGAGGGTAGTACAGCCCCTGTGGTTGAGGCGGATGGTACTGCGGCTCTTGTGGTTGAGGCGGATGGTACTGCGGCCCTTGCGGTGGGGGCTGATGGTACTGCGGCCCTTGCGGTGGAGGCGGATGGTACTGCGGCCCTTGCATTTGGGACGGCATGGCTTGTTGACCCATGTTCTGAATCACGGGGGGTGCTTGCATCGTAATGTTGATCTGCTGCGCTGGGGGCGATGCGGCTGCTTGTGATGGTGGAGTGCGAGTACTCTCATGCACTCGTTGGACGACGACCGTTTCACGAACTTCCACGCGCTTTCTACAGCAACACCACCAAATGCAATACATCATTAAGAGAAAAGTCACAAATCCCCCGATACTTCCTCCAATAGCGCCACCATTCGATGAGCTCGGCGTCGGTTCGTAGACGAATGTACAGGAGTCTGCGGTCCATGCAAGGAAAAGCCTCAAATTGGTGTCTTCCTGCCTCATCCTCCTTCGAACATGATCCCCCTCGGAAGAACAGAGCACTCACCCTTTTGGACACAATAGTCAACGCTTTCCGGACACGCTATTCGAGATTTTCCTACCTGTAAACCTGATCCCTTCAACACGGTAGAACACGTGTTGGCCTCAGTTATAGACATGATGCCATACTCTGTGGAGACCGATTGCCGGTATTAGAACGCCGTCGATATTTCTGCGATCTGAGTCTCAGGAAATCAGGGATGGAAATTGCGCCTCGAAAGTCGCGGATCGATCGCTCACTGAGGTTGCGGCATTCGACGGAAGATACTCGAGCTGCAGGATCCTGGCATGAGGCTCCCTCACACCGCAATTGCCAACTCCTCGCAGCGTCGAATCGGAGGGACATCGTCCATCTCAAATCGATCATTCCGTCTGAAAAGTTTCGCTCGTCAGAATCAATTCTTGAAACACCGAGGGGATGAATCGTCGACTTTCACGATTCTCGGGGAATAGTTGGGAGGAAGAATTCCTTAGTTCACCTCCACAATCAAGGAGCGAATGTCCTCGCGCTGTCAGACACAAAATCAAAGCCAAAATAACAGTGTTTCGAGCGGGGGGAGCCATCGAGATTGGCGAATCCTGGAACCTCCCAGAAGTTAGCTCGAGTGGAGTTATGATTTGATCATGAAAATTCTTAGGGAGCTGAAAGGCCATCCAGGAAAGGGACCGCCAAGCCTTGGAGCCTATCCCGCGCGTGGGATGCCAGGATTATTCGAGCTGCTCGGTCTTTCCACTCTGAGCTGTTGCCGTATCTTGCTCGCGATCTAAAGGCTATAAGCCCGTCAATCCATTGGCTGCATCAATGACACATCTGGTCGCAACCAAAACGGGCGTTTCTATCCCATAGCTTACCGAAAATTCTCCGATGAGGACAAGCTGCGCCTCGGGAGAATCTTCCCAAAGCGAAATTCTACAGATCACGGGCACCATCTTTCTTTCATTTTCCTCCTCTGTTTCACATTTTCCTCGACACGTGCGCGAGAAGGTGGGAATGCAGGCTCCGGAGACTGTTGCCTATCCTCTCGAAGCATGCCCTATGGACGACTGTATTGGAACACAGGGGAGAATGTGATGAGGAATCGCGCAGTCCGCTGATCCTCGATTTCACCATCCGAGCGTGCTAAAGAAACTCGACACATAGTTCATGGACCAATGGTTTTCAAAAAAGGGCTCACTGCCCCATCGTATATACGCTTCTTCTGGACGAATTCGGTTCCCTTCCTTCCGTCGAGACCGCTCGGCTCGATATGTTATGAGTAGGGCCCGGATTTTCATGCATCTGCGAATTGGCATAAATCCGCATAAAACGCATAAATCCTCATATCTTGCATAAAGCCGCATATGACGCTTATTACGCATATATCCGCATATTGCGCTTAGGCCCGCATGAGTCGACAAACTCCACATGCCTCGGCGAATGATCTCATGTTCTACCATGCCTCCGCATTAAATAGCATACTTCCGAACCAATCTACAGAAGTCGTGAGGCGGGTTCCATCGCTGGTTAATAAGGGGGACCCTTCTCACTAAGACTCTACTGAATACTTCACGAAGCCGACGGAGAGTCGTGTGGTTAGAGCGGTCTTCAAGTCACAAGCAGTTCTTCGTAAGCTGCATTGACGTTACCTCGCGCGGGGGGCAGCGTAGGCTCGATCACCGCAGCCCTCTACTTCGAAAACGGTTTCCATGGTTCCTATTCTTCCAGGGTGAATCCCACCTCCCACCCTACAGAATTAAATCAATGCCTTTCGAACCACAATTGAAGTACAGCGTACCTTAGTACCACATAGTACCACATGAGTTTCGAGGTCGAGTTGGAGGGTTTTTCTTCGACAATCACTGGGCGAGGGGTAGAAGAGAAACATCAACTTGCACACCGGGGGATCATTCCACAACTGCCGAATCGAAGCGCCGAACGAAGCGGTTGCGCTTTCATTCTATAGGGGGAATCGAGTTATACAGACTCTTCCCTGATCGGAATTGTGATGCGTGATACGACAACGAATCGCCTCGATCAGGAGAATATCGAGCATCCCCTGCGAGTAGCCGAAATAACGAAATATGCCGAAGCCCAGAGTCGAATTGTCGGACCTTGTGAGCGAATTCGGAGAACACATTTTCTCGTGCAACGAGATGACGCTTGTTTGCGAAGCGTGCAGGAAGACATTCCAAAATGCCCGACGCTTCAACCTTACTCAGCATGCTGCGACAAGCTCGCATCAACGGGCGCTGGACCGAATGCAGAGGAGACGACAAGAAGAGCTGCGCATGGAGCTTGCCACATCTCCGAGTGATATCCCGTCCTTCCCGCTGAATCTGTGTGAGGCGTTTCCGACCGCAGATATACCGCTGCACAAGCTCGAAAACCTGACTCTTCGGAATTTTTTGGAAACTCACACAGGTCGATCTATTCCCGACGAGTCAACTTCGCGGAAATTTTACGTGCATGAAATTTACCAACGCAAGATGCAGACGATCCGTGAGAGCCTCGGTCTATCGAGCATTTGAGATCGATCGATGAAACGACCGACTTCATGTGCAGGAGCATCGCGAACGTTGTAATTGGTTCCCTGAACAGAGACGCAGCCGGACGATCGTTCATCGTGAACTGCGAAGTTGTCGAAAGAACGAAGGCTCACACCATTGCAAGGGTGTTCTGCAAGAGTGTAGAGGACCTCTGGCCTGGTGATGTACAACATGAAAAAGTTCTTCTGTTTGTGTCGGATGCCGCCCCGTATATGGTAGCTGCGGCAAGAAGCCTGAAAGTATTGTTTCCGAATATGGTGCACGTAACGTGTATCGCTCACGCGATACACCGAGTTGCCGAGCGAGCACGGAAATTATTCCCGAATGTCGATAAATTGATGGCATCGGTAAAGAAAATTTTCCTCAAAGCCCCATCCCGAACAAAAGCCTTCAAGTCCGTTCTAGTCGGGATCCCTCTCCCGCCACAACCCATCTTGACACGCTGGGGGACTTGGATTCAAGCGGCTCTCTACTACGCTGAGCATTTCGAAGCCATCAGGAGCCTCGTCAGTGACCACTTGGACCCCGCACATGCCACAGCGATAGGCGAAGCTCAACAGTTGTTCGGTTTAGATTCGCATCGGCGTGATCTGATCTTGATATCTGAGAACTTGCACTTTTTTCCTAGCACGATTGGTTTTCTCGAAACGAGGGGTGCATCCCTCCAGCAATCGCTCACATCTGAGCGACTTTGAGTCTACGATCAACTTCACGAGCCGCCAGAAACTTTACCCGGTCAGAGAGAAGCTGGAGTTTGTCCTCCGACGCAACTCAGGCTTGACATTGCTGAGACAAATTCAAAGCATTCTCGACGGCACTTCTGTACTGGAGGATTTGCCGGTGAACTCGGAATTGAGTGTGGAGCAAGTTCCTAATTTCAAGTTCGCGCCCATCGTTTCATGCGATGTCGAGAGAAGTTTCTCTGTTTTCAGGAGCTTATTCCGTGAGAACAGAAACGGCTTGACAGCAGCTCATCTGAAGGAATATATCGTGATTGCTTGCGATAAAGAGCAATGATTCGACATTTTAGCCTTGAAAACCGATTCCACCCTCTGTTCGTCGAACCTTCTGCTTCTGACGTTGTCCCCTGCTCCTCGGTCTGATTGAGCGATACTAAGAGATCATCTCCTCTCATGCAACGGATTCTGCGTGGCCGACGCATGTAGATTCCGCTTTTCGATATTTCGCAGACAAAGTTCTGACAAGGATGACAAGGCCCGGTTCCGGATAAGTCCGCTCCAGATTGATCTCTATGCTCGCGTCCTTCCTTCACCGCTGATATCCATGCCGATCCTCCGTCTCGAATCTTTGGAGAATCATGTCGTAGATCTAATCTGCTGTGGTCACCCTCGCAACCTCAGGCATCCCCTTTCTGACCATTGCCACGCATTCCGAATGCCCAAGTGGCTGGTTTTCATATTTTCGCTGTGAAAACTCCGCTCATTTTCATGGACATTCCGTTGTATTTCGTGCATATATCGTGCAAAATCCTTCATGAAGAGCGCATATAGCCACATGATCTGAGCATATATCCGCACATATCCGGCGAATCGGAATTCTTATTCAAGAATCTTCAACTCCTACACAGCTATTTAGCTTCGGAATAGCCATTCGGAGGCGATCATTTCACGTGAGGATTTCGTCACCCTTCAGTCGGTTCCGCTGTCAAGGAGCATCATGCACTCTCCGCCACCCAGATCCGCGCGATTTGGCTGTATACGATTCGGATTGCGATTTCGAAACCATTCCCGGAATCCATCGACTTAGATTCGCATTCTGGCGGAGCCCGATCTCTCCGAGGACGGAGTGCGTCGGGGTCGGAGGTTGGAACCACCTCCTTCGCCTCCTAGGAGTTCCCTCTCACACCTGGGGTGCCTACTTGAGTGATTCCGAATTCATCGACAAACTCGTTTCGTCCCTGTTTCTCAGCTGTTGTTCTGCGTAAGCCTCTGGTCGGCCTTCCGTTCCAGAAGCTCCAATCGAAGATTCGAGGAACTCTGCACATATTTCCGAAAATGTCGACGATCAAGCCGACAAGTAGTGAAGGCGTGATGTCTGAGGTGGAAGCAAGATCCACACACTCCTCTTGCTCCCTCGATGTAATGCTCGAGTTCTTCTCCGTGGGCGACGACGACTGGGCCCCTCAGTCAAACGTCAAGGACGCCACACTCCGCGGAGTCGTGGATTGGGCTGCGCACCGGGATGAGAATGGAATGGACAAGAGCACGGACGCCGACCGAAGAGCTCTCACGCGCTGGGAAGGTGGCTTCCTCGGAGCCGAGCGGCATTTTCTTCTCGCGATAATTGAAGCAGCCGATGGTCTCGACATCAGAACACTAATCGATCAAGGCTGCGAGGAGCTTGCCAACAAAGAGAGAGGCAAGGCACCCGGAGATCTCCGGAAGGTCTTCAATCTACCGGAGGAGGGGAACTCGGAATGAAAAATTCCTTGCGAAAAATATCATTTTGCGAGGACATGTAGAGAGCTAGAATAGACCGGCGATTCTGGATAATGGGTGTCACTGAATGAACTGAGCTGTGTATTATTGATGAAAAAGCAGAAGGCTCAGATCATGAGATGTACATAAAACAGTTCATAATAGAAAAACAGAATTTAATTACCTATTGTTTGAGTGGAGTGTTTGGGAGCCAAGAGCTGTAGGTATGAGCAAAGCAAACGGGGTTGCTCGTTGGAGCTGGCAGTCCTAATGATTTATAGTCGAATGCTTCGGCTGAGAGACTCATCCGGAATCTGAAGATGTTCATCAGCTTGTATTCTAATTGGTCCGGTGGTTGGAAGTGCATACGGGAGGCTGCCATTGAGCATCATAACCGTCCTCATTGCAGTAGCATTGCACGTTCTCCATTCGGAGCGCCACCAAATTGGACATGCATTTTGAATTAAGAGCGCAGTTCTATTCGATGCGGCAGAAGTGCCGCTTCACTCTCTTCCAAGGGACGTATCAGACCTCGTAATCCAAATCGTTGGAATAATTGACCCATCTCGCGTTGCGACCCCTCGGTTTCTCGCCTTCAGGATCGCCTTCAAGTTCCCGCCTCTGACACTCATTAGTTTTAGGCACCGGAA